GTTTTTAGTCGTAAACTTTCCAGTTGTCCAGATAACTGCACTCCAGTCTTGGCCGGCTGACACTAAGATCTGGGACGTGTCTACTGAGAACAGCACACCTGGCAAACACTCTAGTTGCATCCCTGTGCAAATATCTTACACCCATCTTTTAGATAACTGTATCATATTATCCATCTGTCATCACACCACCAAGCAAGATGAGCATCTATGGTTAATCCAATCAAATCAGCAGACTCCTGATGTTACTCGACTTAGACTGTTACAAGTATCTCTGGGAATTATCATTACCTGCTGATGTAGACCTGACCAAATGTAAACTGTGTCAACAAAAATATTCCCATATGCTCCATTTTGTATGTAACGGAGTGCGAAAACATACGTGAATTTAGAGACAACTCTATAGTAAGTGAAATGTGTAAATATTTCATGTGAAATTATCTACTACCAGAAATTTGTACCAAGTATCCTCAGTTTGCTAAATAGGTAGTAATTGTGGGTGACTGTGACCTATCCACCGCTGCCCACTGGATAGGGGGGCGGTGTGCAGGATAAACATATCAATTATGCCACTATCTCTCCACATATGTCAGTTGCTTAGCTTAGAGATTGTACTTGTTATTGATATCGAGGCTTTTGTTGATATTACAATATACATTAAATTTTTGTAACAAGCTTATCAAGACTGTAACTTGCTTACCTAAATAAATTTTAGGGTTCTGTTCCTGAGCCCATTATGTGCCTCTGTAACCTTTTCTCACATTATAGAGCCCACGGGATGAATATGGGTGGCATAATAAATGCCCTAAACTAACTCAAGTACAAATCAAGTTTGTAAATATATTTAATTACAAAATTATAGGACTACATGATAACTACAACTGCACCTTCCTTGCTTTCACTGATGCAAATTGGTCTATAATGTGTTCAAAGACAGTTTTTTTTTCAGTCGCTTCTCTTTCTGAACTCAGCAGAGCAAGATCAGAATCTGCCTTGACTTATCTTGGCTTATCTGACTTTAATAGAATCTGCAGAGTTGTGGCTCCCAGTGTGGTCAATCTTTATCCCTAACCAATCAAACTGATTATAATAAAAAAATAATTAGCATGCACTAAAAAGATTAAAAAAACAAAAATTGTTCTTAACTCTGGTTTGGTGTTGATTAGGCTGCCCATGTGAGTCAAATCTTCTTGCTGGACGGAGACGTGAACGGTCGGTCAAGCAGGCTGCTTCAGGCCCGCCAAACACACACCGAAACTACGACGTTGGTACAACGTTCGAACAAGCTTTAACACCTACTAACCAGTTATAACAACCAATATAGCAAGTTGTAACAACGTTCCAATACGTCATAAACACGTTAAGCCAAGATGTAACAACTTTATTACAAGTTGTAACAAGCGGAAAATAGAGACAGTTTCGGTTTGTGTTTCCAGGGGATGTATTTCCTTTACCTGTTGAAGATGGCAATATTAGATGAGTTTATAGCTGTTTTTTTGACCTACACTGTGTAATTTTTCAAATAGAATAGGATAGCAGCACATTGATGTGTATACCTAGCCTCGTGTAATTTTTCAAATAGAATAGGATAGCAGCACAGTGATGTGTATACCTAGCCTCGTGTAATTTTTCAAATAGAATAGGATAGCAGCACATTGATGGGTATACCTAGCCTCGTGTAATTTTTCAAATAGAATAGGATAGCAGCACATTGATGGGTATACCTAGCCTCGTGTAATTTTTCAAATAGAATAGGATAGCAGCACAGTGATGTGTATACCTAGCCTCGTGTAATTTTTCAAATAGAATAGGATAGCAGCACATTGATGTGTATACCTAGCCTCGTGTAATTTTTCAAATAGAATAGGATAGCAGCACATTGATGTGTATACCTAGCCTCGTGTAATTTTTCAAATAGAATAGGATAGCAGCACATTGATGTGTATACCTAGCCTCGTGTAATTTTTCAAATAGAATAGGATAGCAGCACAGTGATGTGTATACCTAGCCTCGTGTAATTTTTCAAATAGAATAGGATAGCAGCACAGTGATGTGTATACCTAGCCTCGTAAAAACAAAAAACTGTTGGAAGTTTATTTCATTAACACTTTGTATAAAATTAATTGGAATAATTAGAAATAAAAATGCAGCTAATTGGACTGGTTCATATAGCCTACCTTACGTCTGTTTTAACATATTCTACACAATTGTTGATGCAATAAAAGTTTATACAAATTTAATTAAACTAACCAGATCGATTAAATGATGATTACCTAGTAGCTGTATATCATTATTATTTCATTGGTGTGATAATATCAGTTGATTGGTTATTAAATTAACTATCCTTAAGTTAGCAGTATTCAGTGATAACGGTAACAATATATTAACTTACTAGATCTTGATAACTATTGCTTAACTATTGTTAAGACCAATGAAAAGATTCAGCCAAGACTGTTTAACTCAGTTAATATATTCAGGCAAGAATTTTAAGTACAGTGATAATCAAAATATATTAAAAAGGAATCAGAAAAAAACTGATTTTGGGGTCTGAGGTCCACATCCTTCAAACACAGGAATAATTAATAAATCAAGGTTATCTGTGGATACATTCAAAACACAAAACATGCATACAACCTGTTCTTTTAGATAGTTTGAAGACCGGCTCCTAGAGTCTTATAGTTGTAAGACTGTGACCACTCTTGACGTGATCTATGACAATATATCTTGTGATTAAATGTATTGGAGAGCGACGTTTCTGGTGGATCGCGTCTGTCTAAATCGCCACTGTACAGGCGTTACTCCCTCCCACTTCATCACCCAGGATGTAGTCTTAATGTTCTACGTCTCTATGAGTACATAACTAGGTGTACTCACTTTATTATAAGACTGTTTTGTGCTGGGTTTGACTCCCAAGAGCCTAGCAACACACACACACACACGTGTTGTCATGGCGGAGGATGTGGACAGTCTGGCCGCCTGAGCGAGCTTCCACCTCCGACCGCCTGGGCAGGCAGCCATGTATCCGGATTCTGCATGAATTTTCCTACTCGAAAACGCGTACATTAAGTTGAGTTTTATCTAAAAGTCTAAACCAAGAGTCATTTTTAAGATGGTTAATTAGTGCTCAGGTAAGATTATATATACTCCTGTCTAAATGAGATGTGATATCATGCAAATGGTTACAGAAACGCCTCTCACCCATGCAGTTGGTTGGGGTAGAACGTTTACAATCTCGTACGATAAGCAAGCATTTTCTTGAGTTAAAATTTTGACGGCGAATGTTTTTAACTCCTACAATATGTTAATCTAAATTATCATAATTCTTTTGAATATTTTCGACACTCTAGTCCAGAGTTTCTTAGGATTTAATATCTTTTTAAATTGATCTTATCTTTGTATTATCTCAGAAACGGCACTAAAACATTTACATCATGACCCAAAATAGTGTGGAACCACATATATATATATATATATATATATATATATATATATATATATATATATATATATATATATGTCGTACCTAGTAGCCAGAACGCACTTTTCAGCCTACTATGCAAGGCCCGATTTGCCTAATAAGTCAAGTTTTCATGAATTAATATATTTTCTCTGATTTTTTTCTTATGAAATGATAAAGCTACCCATTTCATTATGTATGAGGTCAATTTTTTTTATTGGAGTTAAAATAACGTAGATATATGACCGAACCTAACCAACCCTACCTAACCTATCCTAACCTATTTTTTATAGGTTAGGTTAGGTTAGGTAGCCGAAAAAGTTAGGTTAGGTTAGGTTAGGTAGGTTAGGTACTCGAAAAACAACTAATTCATGAAAACTTGGCTTATTCGGCAAATCGGGCCTTGCATAGTAGGCTGAGAAGTGCGTTCTGGCTATTAGGTACGACATATATATATATATATATATATATATATATATATATATATATATATATATATATATATATATATATATATATATATATATATATATATATAGGCCTTCGCTCCGAAATTTTGAACAGCATAATTAAATTAACATAGCCTATCCAAGTCAAGCCTAACCTAATACCACGTCATTAGAATGTAAGATTAAAAATTATAAAATTATTGACGAAGGCCGCAAGCATTTCTGTACAAAGAGTGGCCAATTGGTGAACGTTTACACTCCGGTTAAATAAACAAACTAATGGCGGGTGTTGTGCCATCTAGCGGCGAGGGTGAGAGTTGTGGCGTGGTGTTGCCATGGCGACGCCTCAGGCAAGATGGCAGGAGTGGGAGGCGGAAGTTAACACCGGCGGTTAAATACATAGTTTCCCCTTGACGCTGTACTGTGGCAGTACAGTACACTGTACTGTGGCGGACAATATAATGTGGTTGGGTGGGTGGTGTGGACTTGGCCAACAGTAACAGGCTGTAGTAAAGAGTATTAACACGAGGATACTACCCGATATTTGCCAGTGTTCATGTGTTCGTGTGTATGGTCATATCTCTGTGTTTTACAAGACATTTCTTAAGAGATTTCCGCATTGACTTAAGAAGTTACATTGGTGGATTGAAGTGGTTAGCATCAGAATATTATGTGATTTCATATTAATGGAATTTTGTGACGCGAAAGTTTCCCCCATGAAATTGACAAAGCCTCAGTACACCATCCAAATAACAACAGTTTACTTAAAAGAAAAAACAAACAAACTTATGAGGAAATGCAATAAATAAGATACATGGGAGACGCAGAAGCAAACCCGTCCACTATAGATCGTGACCTTCAGGTAAATCCAGGTAAACTGTGCGTATAAACAGTGTCTCTATAACAGGATACAATTTCTAACGTACTACTGCACTGTAACATGGTCCTACGTATATATTTTTAATAAGAATAAGTATTATTATTATTATTATTTTTATTTAAAAGCTCACTAAATGTCACCAATTGTGAAGAATGAAGTCTCTGGCAACTGTTCAGGAGAGGGGGGGGGCGCCGGGCCGAGCCTGAGGCCAGGCCGGGGCGGCCAGACATACCTTCCTCGGCCACCGTGCAGTGAAGGCCTCGGCCACACGAGCCTCTCTCTCTCCACCTGTAAGACCTGTGGTAAGGACTATACAGTGACAATCTAAGGACCTGTTGTGGCTGTACCCCAGCACGTGCAAGACAATATTTTCGTAACTGTGCTTGATCAAATGTTATTATTTTGAGGTGAATTTTCAACGCCTCATATAGGCTGAAGGATTAGCATTTAAAACTCCTAAATTAAACACAGGCTTTGACTGGACGGCCAACCCCCCCCCCCTACCCGACGTAACTGTTAACTGCTGGTTAAGTGTCCTTAAATGTATTTGGTTGACTTAAAATACAATTATTCTAGAAGATAATGAGGCTATTCAAGTTGCTGTGTATCGAACAACATCAGATCTCTTAGTGTGCAAAACTTAATGTTTAAACTTAATGTTTATTTAATTAATATATATGGATGTGTGTACTCACCTAGTTGTACTCATCTAGTTGTGCTTGCTGGGGTTGAGCTCTGGCTATTTGGTCCCGCCTCTCAACTGTCAATCAACTGGTGTACAGATTCCTGAGCCTACTGGGCTCTATCATATCTACATTAGAAACTGTGTATGGAGTCAGCCTCCACCATATCCTGCCTAATGCATTCTATCTGTTAACTACTCTGACACTGAAAAAGTTATTTCACATGTCCCTGTGGCTCATTTGGGTACTCAGCTTCCACCTGTGTCCCCTTGTTCTCGTACCACCCGTGTTAAAACAGCTTATCTTTATCTACCCTGTCAATTCCTCTGAGAATTTTGTTGGTAGTGATCATGTCTCCCCTAACTCTTCTGTCTTCCAATGTCGTGAGGTTCAGTTCCAGCAATCTTTCCTCATAGTCCATTCCTCTCAGATCGGGGACTAGCCTGGTGGCATACCTCTGAACTTTTTCTAACTTCATTTTGTGTTTGACTAGATGTGGACGCCACACTAGAGCCTCACATTCCAGTATTGGTCTGACATATGTGGTATACAAGGTTCTGAATGATTCCTTACACAAGTTTCTGAAAAGCAGTTCTCAAGTTTGCCAGCCTCGCATACGTCACAGAAATAACATCACATGAGACCAGAAGACATGGCAGGATGTGCAGAATACCCCCGTTGAAAAACAGAGGTGCAACTGGTACTCTGAGAGAGAACTCTATCAACATCAGAGGTCCGAGACTGTTCAACACGCTTCCACTACACATAAGGGGCATAACTGGCCGACCCCTCACAGTGTTCAAGAGAGAACTGGATAAGCACCTCCAAAGGATACCTGATCAACCAGGCTGTGACTCATACGTCAGGCTGCGAGCAGCCGCGTCCAACAGCCTGGTTGATCAGTCCGGCAACCAGGAGGCCTGGTCGACGACCGGGCCGCGGGGACGCTAAGCCCCGGAAGCACCTCAAGGTAACGCCGCTGATGTTATCCTTTTGATGTGGGCTTCAGGGGACAGGTCTGGTGTGATACCAACCCCCAGATCTCTCTCTCTCGTCCTGACTCCTGAAGGAATTTTCCTCTCCCAGCTGGTACCTTGTGTTTGGCCTCCAGGGGTCAGATTCAAGAAAGCACTTACGAACCCGTACATCTTTTCTCAATCTTTGGCGGCTTTGTTTCCAATTATTAAACAGTTAATGTCCTCCGAAGCACCAGGAGGCTTGCTTATAACAACAACAACAGTTGATTGACAAGTTTTCAGGCTTGTAAACTGTCTAATAAATGTAACTAAAGCCGTCAAAGATTGAGGAAAGATGTACACGTTCGTAAGTATTTGCGTAAGTGCTTTCGTGAATCTAGCCCCTGCTTCCTAACAGCTTCAGTCACTTCTAGATGAAGCTGATACCTCCTAACCTCATCTCTGGTAATTTAAATATCTTGAAATTAAAAACGTACACGAACCTACAGATGGTGTAGGACTGACCTTATCCTGATACCGGATGGTGAAGGGCTGACCTTATCCTGATACCGGATGGTGTAGGGCTGACCTTATCCTGATACCGGATGGTGTAGGGCTGACCTTATCCTGATACCGGATGGTGTAGGGCTGACCTTATCCTGATACCGGATGGTGTAGGGCTGACCTTATCCTGATACCGGATGGTGTAGGGCTGACCTTACCCTGATACCGGATGGTGTAGGGCTGACCTTACCCTGATACCGGATGGTGAAGGGCTGACCTTACCCTGATACCGGATGGTGTAGGGCTGACCTTATCCTGATACCGGATGGTGAAGGGCTGACCTTATCCTGATACCGGATGGTGAAGGGCTGACCTTACCCTGATACCGGATGGTGTAGGGCTGACCTTATCCTGATACCGGATGGTGTAGGGCTGACCTTGAAGGGCTGACCTGATACCGGATGGTGTAGGGCTGACCTTACCCTGATACCGGATGGTGTAGGGCTGACCTTACCTGATACCGGATGGTGTAGGGCTGACCTTATCCTGGATGGTGTAGGGCTGACCTTATCCTGATACCGGATGGTGTAGGGCTGACCTTACCCTGATACCGGATGGTGTAGGGCTGACCTTATCCTGATACCGGATGGTGAAGGGCTGACCTTACCCTGATACCGGATGGTGTAGGGCTGACCTTATCCTGATACCGGATGGTGAAGGGCTGACCTTACCCTGATACCGGATGGTGTAGGGCTGACCTTACCCTGATACCGGATGGTGTAGGGCTGACCTTATCCTGATACCGGATGGTGTAGGGCTGACCTTACCCTGATACCGGATGGTGTAGGGCTGACCTTACCCTGATACCGGATGGTGTAGGGCTGACCTTATCCTGATACCGGATGGTGTAGGGCTGACCTTATCCTGATACCGGATGGTGTAGGGCTGACCTTATCCTGATACCGGATGGTGTAGGGCTGACCTTATCCTGATACCGGATGGTGTAGGGCTGACCTTACCCTGATACCGGATGGTGTAGGGCTGACCTTATCCTGATACCGGATGGTGTAGGGCTGACCTTATCCTGATACCGGATGGTGTAGGGCTGACCTTATCCTGATACCGGATGGTGTAGGGCTGACCTTATCCTGATACCGGATGGTGAAGGGCTGACCTTATCCTGATACCGGATGGTGTAGGGCTGACCTTATCCTGATACCGGATGGTGTAGGGCTGACCTTACCCTGATACCGGATGGTGTAGGGCTGACCTTATCCTGATACCGGATGGTGTAGGGCTGACCTTATCCTGATACCGGATGGTGTAGGGCTGACCTTATCCTGATACCGGATGGTGTAGGGCTGACCTTATCCTGATACCGGATGGTGTAGGGCTGACCTTACCCTGATACCGGATGGTGTAGGGCTGACCTTACCCTGATACCGGATGGTGTTGGGCTGACCTTACCCTGATACCGGATGGTGTAGGGCTGACCTTATCCTGATACCGGATGGTGTAGGGCTGACCCTACCCTGATACCGGATGGTGTAGGGCTGACCTTATCCTGATACCGGATGGTGTAGGGCTGACCTTATCCTGATACCGGATGGTGTAGGGCTGACCTTATCCTGATACCGGATGGTGTAGGGCTGACCTTACCCTGATACCGGATGGTGTAGAGCTGACCTTACCCTGATACCGGATGGTGTAGGGCTGACCTTATCCTGATACCGGATGGTGTAGGGCTGACCTTACCCTGATACCGGATGGTGTAGGGCTGACCTTACCCTGATACCGGATGGTGTAGGGCTGACCTTACCCTGATACCGGATGGTGTAGGGCTGACCTTACCCTGATACCGGATGGTGTAGGGCTGACCTTACCCTGATACCGGATGGCTGCCCTTTACCTAATACCAGACCAAGTGGAGCTGCCTTTACCTGTTAACAGACAAAACGGGGGCTGCCTATTGGACAACAGATACAGTAATGTATTTCAAAATCAGTCATCATTATTGACGCATCGTCGCGAGTACCGGAACACTGAGCTCGTTGATCAATAAAACTGTCGTTAGATGCACTGGAATGTAAAGGTCATTCGCAGCGCTTGATATACTGGAATATGCCGAGGTCACGCTAGGCATATCACAGGCTGGGAGGTATACCGCATATCCCGTGTTAGTGTCGCTATACCAGAGCCGCTAATCTATACATCTAGACATACATTTATCATCAATCTATACATCATTTGCTATCGGGATTCTTCCAGTACGGTGTATTATGTATATTTGTATGGATATACTTTTATGCTGGGGGGGGGGGGGTTGCTGTGATACTGGTTATCAATATATAAAGGTTATTTAAAGCTGTTTTGGATGTGTTAACATTGACAAAGATTATTTCTCAAAATTTTGGGAGAAGCACACACACACACTGAGGGAACTGCACCTCACGTCGCAGGAAGACAGAAGAGCTCGGGGAGACATGATCACAACATACATGATTCTCATGGGAATTGACAGGGTAGACACAGATGGATTATTTAAGACGGATGGTACGCGAACAAGGGGTCACAGGTGGAAGCTGAGTACCCCAAATGAGCCACAGGGACGTTAGAAAGAACTTTTTCAGTGTCAGAGTAGTTAGTAAATGGAATGCATTAGGAAGTGATGTGGTGGAGGCTGACTCCATACACAGTTTCAAATGATAGAGTCCAGTAGGCTTAGGAATCTGTACGCCTGTTGATTGACAGTTGAGAGGCAGGACCAAAGAGCCAGAGCTCAACCGCCGCAAGCACAACTAGGCGAGTACACACACACACAAACACACAAATACACACACACACACACACACACACACACACACACACACACACACACACACACACACACACACACACACACACACACACACACACACACACACACACACAGGTGGTGGAAATAGGAGGCCAAACACAGGATACAGAATAGGAAATGAAGTACTTAATGAAACGAACAGAGAGAAAGATCTAGGAGTTGATATCACACCAAACCTGTCTCCTGAAGCCCACATAAAAAGAATAACGTCTGCGGCATATGCTAGGCTGGCTAACATCAGAACAGCGTTCAGGAACCTGTGTAAGGAATCATTCAGAATCTTGTACACCACATATGTAAGACCAATCCTGGAGTATGCGGCCCCAGCATGGAGCCCGTACCTTGTCAAGCACAAGACGAAGCTGGAAAAAGTCCAAAGGTATGCCACTAGACTAGTCCCAGAACTAAGAGGCATGAGTTACGAGGAAAGGCTGCGGGAAATGCACCTTACGACACTGGAAGACAGAAGAGTAAGGGGAGACATGATCGCAACCTACAAAATCCTCAGAGGAATCGACCGGGTAAACAAGGATAAACTATTCAACACTGGTGGGACGCGAACAAGGGGACACAGGTGGAAACTGAGTACTCACATGAGCCACAGAGACGTTAGAAGGAACTTTTTTAGTGTCAGAGTAGTTAACGGATGGAATGCATTAGGCAGTGATGTGGTGGAGGCTGACTCCATACACAGTTTTAAATGTAGATATGATAGAGCCCAGTAGGCTCAGGAATCTGTACACCAGTTGATTGACAGTTGAGAGGCGGGACCAAAGAGCCAAAGCTCAACCCCCGCAAGCACAAATAGGTGAGTACACACACACACACACACACACACACACACACACACACACACTGTACACCTGTTGATTGACGGTTGAGAGGCGGGACCAAAGAGCCAGAGCTCAACCCCCGCAAACACAACTAGGTGAGTACAACTAGGTGAGTACACACACACAACACACACACACACACACACACACACACACACACACACACACACACACACACACACACACACACACACACACACACACACCAATAAGTCTCACGAAGTGATGTAAATATATAAATTACTATTAGTACAGCTTCTCAAGAGCATGACTGAATTGCTAAACACAACAGACTGACAGAACAACCTCTGTGGTCGGTACATTCCTAGACTACGAAACCAACTTTGGCACGGTGCCACACGGAACACCAACTGAAGCAGTGGCGTGCCATCCGGAACCAGGGAACGTCGTGTCGTGGCGACGACCTCACTTGAAACACTGACATCGTGGTTAGTAACGTCAGAATAAGGCTGATCAGGCCTTTATTCTAAGCTTTGTAAGACGTAAGCTTAAACGGCTTTGTAAGGCCGTTATTATGAGACAGCCATTAAGACTATATACCACTTGGAAGGGATATGAGGGACAGGGATCAGGGACAGGACGGGGTGAAATAGCAGTGACCAACCACTAGGACTGTCGGGAATTGAACTCCGACGCTGCTTAAAAGCGAGGCCTCTGCTCTACTGACCAGTCCAAGTGAATGGACCATGCCACTGGCAAAACTAGCCATTAGAGTTCTCAGTCTTTGTCTCTACATTTGTTCATAAATGTGAACTACTTGTGAGAGGAGATTGAAGGGAAGGGAACTATCAGGGGGAAAGTGCTAAGCCATCACGACTATATAGCACTGGGAAGGGGTCAGGATAAGGATTTGGGATGGGACGGAGTGAAGGAATGGTGCCTCAACCACTTGGACGGTCGGGGATTGAACGCCGACCTGCATGAAGCGAGGCTCAGTTGGTCGTGCGCTTGTCTGCACTGTCTAAGGGATGCGGGTTCCATTGTATGGTCTCACTATTTACTCACAGAAACATTCACGTTCTCGTGATTCATTGTACGGAGGCGGGTCCCCATAACGTCGGCGACGTGGACACGAGAGCAGACGCCGACAACAGGCTGACATTATCATTACCTATTATAGGTTAGGTAATAATTGTAATTACGAAGCAATAAGATGCTTATCTTAAGATACTAACAAGGTTAGGTAAGGTCGGTGTTTTCTATGAATCTTTTTAAGGGTATCTATTATGTTAAGTATGTCACCTATGCACATATTTAATAAGTCAATATTGACTTATTAAATTTGCGAGAACGGGTTGGACACACACACATCACAAATGCTCCAACACCTGACTCAGTTCCCATCCATTGGTCACAATATCAAAGAGTGACGCTGAATCAACGTTAATCTTGTCCACCAGTAAGAATAACACACAAAAGTGACAGAAACAGTAAAAAGAGGTCTGGTCGGAGACCGGGCCGCGGGGCCTTTGATCCCCGGAACCTCCACAAGATAACCGTCTCGTAGAACTCGTCTCCCGACTTCCATATCAAAAGGATAACATCAAGCGGCCTAATGCTCAGTTGACACCCATAAGAACGGCTTTCAAGAATTTGATAAAAATCTAATTCAGAATATTTTATATGTCAGAATTTTCAGTTTTCAATTCAATTTTGAATTGAACTTTTGAATTCAACTGAATTTTCAATTCAGTTTCAGAATTTTTTACATGTTTTACAGCGTTTCTGCCCGAAACGCTGCGCGTGCTAGTGGCTTTACAAGACTGTAATTACCATAATTGTATCCTCACATTCCTTATGTACATTCTTGTATATGCATAAATAAATAAATAAATAAATGTACGTCAGACCGGTTACTGAGAATGCAGCATCAACATAGAGCCTCGACATAGATCCAAAGAATATGAAGACACTAAAGAGTTTTGTAACCAAACTGGTCTCGGAGATGAGGAGCAAGATAACAAAGGGACCAACAACCTCACTCTAGACAAGAGAAGGTTGGGAGTGAGCAAGTCTTGTTGAAATGAGACCATGCAGTCTCCGTGGTGTAGTGGTAAGACACTCGCCTGGCGTTCCGCGAGCGCTATGTCATGGGTTCGTATCCTGGCCGGGGAGGATTTACTGGGCGCAATTCCTTAACTGTAGTTTCTGTTTAACGCAACAGTAAAATGTGTACTTGGATGAAAAAACGATTCTTCACGGCAGGAGATCGTATTCCAGGGACTTGCCCGAAACGCTACGCGTACTAGTGGCTCTACAAGAATGTAACAACTCTTGTATATATCTCAAAAAAAAAAAAAATCTATATAAAATATGTTTTGTTTGTCTGCCTGAGGTTGGAAGTCAGAGGTTAGGGGCTAACCTCACTCAACTTTGCAAGAGGAATCATGTCGGGTAGGGGAGTGTCATAGGTCAGTCGGTGTCAGCCCAAGTGAAAACTTTTAAGAAATATCGGCATTTATAGACACCCCCGACCATGCGATTTTCCTGGTCAGAAATACTTGTTGCTTCCCATAGAGTTATTCATAAGAACATAAGAACATAAGAACAAAGGCAACTGCAGAAGGCCTATTGGCCCATACGAGGCAGCTCCTATTTATAACCACCCAATCCCACTCACATACATGTCCAACCCGCGCTTGAAACAATCGAGGGACCCCACCTCCACAATGTTACGCGGCAATTGGTTCCACAAATCAACAACCCTGTTACTGAACCAGTATTTACCCAATTCAGCAGTTGCAGTGCTTCCTAATAATATATTTTTTGTGCGAAGGGAGGGGAAAGAGGAGGGGAGGAAGGCAGGAAGGGATGGGACGAGAGAGGGGTACCCCTTCACCCCTACTTGAAGGGGTATCAGAGCCCTCGGTACCCCGTCAAGTAGATTATAAATACTCGTTGAATATATAAATATTACGAAGTTTATATATAAAACGACCTCTACCAAGAGTGTTACTTAGTGTTAGCCGGTCGGCCGAGCGGACAGCACGCTGGACTTGTCATCCTGTGGTCCCGGGTTCGATCCCAGGCGCCGGCAAGAAACAATGGGCAGAGTTTCTTTCACCCTATGCCCCTGTTACCTAGCAGTAAAATAGGCACCTGAGTGTTAGTCAGCTGTCACGGGCTGTTTCCTGGGGGTGGAGGCCTGGTCGAGGACCGGGCCGCGGGGACACTAAAAAAAAAAGCCCCGAAATCATCTCAAGATAACCTCAAGATAACCTCAAGATCCCTCTCCCAATATATTTGTTGCCTGGTAGGTGTAAGTTTGAAGAGGCAGAGACGTGTGTGTGTGTAACAAGTCTCAGTGTTCGTTCATCGTGTGACACTGAACACTGAACAGCTTCTCTACCGTCGAAAATATTACCAAAGTAACTGTGCAATTTGTGTTATGAGCCCCATGAACCTGCTGGTGCTGTCTGTACCTGCTATTTTTAACGATCATGTTTTTTCAGCAGCTGATATAAAATAGATAAAAAGTCATAAGAGAAAACGGAGCGTCGGCCTTATAGAACAATTAGTGTGTGTTAGTGGGTTTGTACCGGTTCGCGCGCGTCTGTGTACTTGTGTTTGAGGACACTGATCCGGCCGTGGACGCTCACGCCTCGCCGGCCACACACTCTCCAACTGCCTTAACCAGCAAGGCAACGACCCAACCACCCGTCCACCTGGCCAGAATGACGGAGGTGATGACCATATCGTCAGGCGGCGGGGTGAACCTGGGCACCTACACCTACACCTCGGCCCCTAGGATCGTCGAGCACCCCAGGAGGAGCCCAAACAGGTGAGTACCCCCTTGCCGGGGATTACATTTCCTCTAATGCTAAGAAAATGGGGGTTTGTGAAAGAAAATGGTGTGTTATCATGATAGACTTATTTGTTTGTATAGGCCGCATGATGTACTCCTTTACTTACCTATCATCAGCAAACATTGACAGGTAGAAGCTCACTCCATCCGGTAGGTTGTTCACATACATTAGGAACAACAGCAGTGGTCCCAGGACAGAGCCTTGTGGGACCCCACTTGTCACATTAATACTCCCTCACCCAGTCCTGTGTTATCCCAGTTATCCCTTACCTTGAGGTTACCTTGAGGTGCTTCCGGGGCTTAGCGTCCCCGCGGCCCGGTCGTCGACCAGGCCTCCTGGTTGCCGGACTGATCAACCAGGCTGTTGGACGCGGCTGCTCGCAGCCTGACGTACGAGTCACAGCCTGGTTGATCAGGTATCCTTTGGAGGAGGCTGGTTCTCCATCTTGTCCAACAGCCTTTCATTAGGAACAGTGTCAAATGCCTTATGACAGTCTAGGAAAACACAGTCTACCCAGCCTTCATTTTCCTGTCGTATTTAAGTAACCTTGTCATAAAGCTCAATCAGGTTTGTCAGGCACAACTATCCATTTATAAATCCAAGCTGGCTTGTTGTCACAAAGGCGAACGTCTTAAGATACTCCAGATGATTGCTTTCGTCTTGGAGTGCACAAGACGACATGAGATATACTCCTCTGATTGCAGATGTTTGGGTAACACGGTAAGGACATGTATATGCAGGTGTAATGAAGTAAGGGCGAAGAGGTAGAACGGCCTATTGACATATCTCGAGTGCAGGGGGGAGTTGTGTAAAATCCTGGTTTGTGTCTCGGAGAGGCTGCAGGATCCATGTAAATTCTGTTGAACTTTTTGGTTGCAATTCTTATACCCTGTCGTAGCTCAGTCGATTAAGGCAGCATCTGGGATGCTCTCGGACGCGGGTTCGAATCCTCGTCACGGCCCTTGTGGATTTGTTCACATGTAGGTGTTGTTATTGACTTGTTGGCCAATATTGACTTAGTTACGTAACATTGTGTTCAAGTGTATTACTTTGTGTTTAAAGCTTACATATACGCAGAGGTGTTCCTCTGCTTCTCGGTGTGTAGACTCCGATAGTATACTTGAGCCCCGAGGTATATTCAGGACTAAAGTATACTTGCTGGTTGGTCAGTAAACTGCTGTGGAGGTGATAATAGCCCTCGTGATCCTGGCTGACAGGTTCAAAGCCCACCACTAAATCACAACACATAAGTTACAATGCTAAATGTTCGGTATCCGGACACGATATTCGGTATATATTCGATATCCGGACACAATGTACTGCATATCTTAGCTATCCGGATATGAATTGTATGTGCAGTATCCGGATACGATATTCGGTATGTGTGCAGTATCCGGACATATTGGGTATAGGTGACGTATCCGGACGCAAAATTCGATATATATATATATATATATATATATATATATATATATATATATATATATATATATATATATATATATATATATATTATATTTTTTTTATAATTATAATAAGCCTAGCCCCCCCCTAGGACAGGTGATAACCTTCCCCAGAATGCAACCCACAACAGCTGCCTAACTCCTAGGTACCTATATACTTCAAGGTGAACAGAGGCATCAGGTGGAAGGTCCCCCTAGGCCACGCATGTGATAGAGGGGTGGGCCGGGGGGGGGGGGAGGATAGTGTAGAGGGAATGAGACGTCACGATACATAATTTAAGAGTGTTGCCATAAATAGAGGTGAGCGTGGCGGCCCTGCTGTGTGGTAGAATACATAATGGCTGTCTCTGGTGGGCTGACCTTTGTCCGGGGCGCTGTAACTGTTGCTGTAGTGGGCTGACCTTTGTCCGGGGCGCTGTAACTGCTGCTGTAGTGGGCTGACCTTTGTCCGGGGCGCTGTAACTGCTGCTGTAGTGGGCTGAGTGGTGGATGTCTCTGGTGGGCTGACCTTTGTGCGGGGCGCTGTAACTGCTGCTGTAGTGGGCTGAGTGGTGGCTGTCTCTGGTGGGCTGACCTTTGTCCGGGGCGCTGTAACTGCTGCTGTAGTGGGCTGAGTGGGTGATGTCTCTGGTGGGCTGACCTTTGTCCGGGGCGCCGTAACTGCTGCTGTAGTGGGCTGAGTGGTGGATGTCTCTGGTGGGCTGACCTTTGTTCGGGGCGCTGTAACTGTTGCTGTAGTGGGCTGAGTGGTGGATGTCTCTGGTGGGCTGACCTTTGTCCGGGGCGCTGTAACTGCTGCTGTAGTGGGCTGAGTGGTGGATGTCTCTGGTGGGGCTGACCTTTGTCCGGGCGCTGTAACTGTTGCTGTAGTGGGCTGAGTGATGGTGGATCTGGTGGGCTGACCTTTGTCCGGGGCGCTGTAACTGTTGCTGTAGTGGGCTGAGTGGTGGTGTTGATCTGGTGGGGGTTGACCTTTGTCCGGGGCGCTGTAACTGCTGCTGTAGTGGGCTGAGTGGTGGATGTCTCTGGTGGGCTGACCTTTGTCCGGGGCGCTGTAACTGCTGCTGTAGTGGGCTGAGTGGTGGTGGATCTGGTGGGCTGACCTTTGTCCGGGGCGCTGTAACTGTTGCTGTAGTGGGCTGAGTGGTGGTGGATCTGGTGGGCTGACCTTTGTCCGGGGCGCTGTAACTGTTGCTGTAGTGGGCTGAGTGGTGGTGGATCTGGTGGGCTGACCTTTGTCCGGGGCGCTGTAACTGTTGCTGTAGTGGGCTGAGTGGTGGTGGATCTGGTGGGCTGACCTTTGTCCGGGGCGCTGTAACTGCTGCTGTAGTGGGCTGAGTGGTGGATGTCTCTGGTGGGCTGACCTTTGTCCGGGGCGCTGTAACTGCTGCTGTAGTGGGCTGAGTGTGTGTGGATCTGGTGGGCTGACCTTTGTCCGGGGCGCTGTAACTGTTGCTGTAGTGGGCTGAGTGGTGGTGGTGGATCTGGTGGGCTGACCTTTGTCCGGGGCGCTGTAACTGTTGCTGTAGTGGGCTGAGTGGTGGTGGATCTGGTGGGCTGACCTTTGTCCGGGGCGCTGTAACTGTTGCTGTAGTGGGCTGAGTGGTGGTGGATCTGGTGGGTTGACCTTTGTCCGGGGCGCTGTAACTGCTGCTGTAGTGGGCTGAGTGGTGGATGTCTCTGGTGGGCTGACCTTTGTCCGGGGCGCTGTAACTGCTGCTGTAGTGGGCTGAGTGGTGGTGGATCTGGGGTGTGGGGGGTGAGGGATACACTTACATAAGTGTAAGTGCTAAGTAATTTAGCACTTACATTTATACAAGGCTCTAGTGCGGCCCAATAACCTCCGGTACCACTACGTCACGTAAAGAAAACTCATGTAACAACTTCAGACAGTGCACAATAAGCAACCCGTCCTCGACTCGAGTCCATTCCATCCAGCGGTCGATCCCACAGACACATTCATCAATTTTAACATGCTGTTCATTCAAAACAGGAATTTTATCAAATATAAATATTATTTATATTAGCATATTGTGCATATATAGGCATAGGTTAGGTCAGGTGTTTAGGTTCTGTTGGCGATTATTTGTATTTGTAGTACGTGGGTGAAGCATTTACAGCGTTGTGGTTCGAACACAAGTCGTCAGTGAAGCACTTGTTCCGGAAGTGTTCGAACGGCAGCAGTTGTGAGTCGTGTGTAAACCTTCTTTCATTCATAAACAGCTGGGGGTTTGGCGGGTGCATGGAATCACTTTTGGATCTTTGTTTGGAGGACGGGCTGACGTGGGGTGAAGCATTTACAGCGTTGTGATTCGAACACAAGTCGTCAGTGAAGCACTTGTTCCGGAAGTGTTCGAACGTCAGCAGTTGTGAGTCGTGTGTAAACCGTCTTTCATTCATAAACAGGGGGGTTGGCGGGTGGATGGAATGGACTTTGGGTCTTTGTTTGGAGGACGGGCTG